AGCACTCGAGAGTAATGCTAAAGCAATGTATGGACAAATAAAAACAATCAATAGACATGAAACATATAATGATATAAAAATGTATTTTGTTTAACTTTGTAAAAATTTGTAAGATTATAAAGCAATGTAAGCCTTTCTAGCTTTTTGCAAAACAAATGTTTTCACAATATCTGAGAAATTAATCTCCCGTAGTAAATCGGATTCTATGCTCATTAGTGTCAAATAAGTAAATCGATTTTGGCTCATATTGGTCCTTAGTCTGTTTTTGATAAGTTTCAATTTGGAAAACGATTGTTCTCTTGAACAATTAGAGACCATTAGGACCAAGTACATCCTTAATAGGATTTCTACATTTCGAAAACTTGAGATGAAGTTATTCGCATTTAAAATTTTGTAAAAGAAAAGTTTTTTGGGTACATTTGCATTAGCATCATAGTCATCCATATAAAGCTTTAGAAGGGCTGAAAATTGAACAAGCTCATTTCCGAGACTTTCTTCAAGACTTTCTTGTACTTGTTAACTAAATTGTTTGCAGACATCATTATTTCATTTGGTTCCATTTCATCAAGGCGATTCTGAAAGCCAAAATATTCACATACATTCTTGTAAGCATTTATTCTGTCTGTAAGTGAGACATTAAATTGGTCAATCACTGGGATAAAACTTGATAAACTGGGATAAAACTGATAAACTGGGATAAAACTGGGACGAAACTGATCACTTGGGGATTGCTGAACTTCATCTCCAGTTTTATAACCCAACGGATTGAGGCGAATATTTCTATTCCACTGGCGACGTTGAGCTTGGGAATATTCAGTTAAACCAGATAATTTTTTTGCACATTCTTCATATTGAGCAAAACATTCTCGTTTTGATTCCACGAATGTTTTCAGTGAAATAAGGGCATCTACTGCAGACTGCAATACCATTTCAGGACTCTGGAGTTTCTTGTTTGTGGCATTGAATCGCTCCAATATCTTATTCCAAAACAATAAATATAGCGCAATTCCGATCTTGCACATTTGTTTGTGAAAACCAGCAGCATTGCGAACAATATCCTTTTCCTCCTTGTAAATAGAAATTTTTTCCAAAGCCACCTTAAACTTGTCATATCCAACAACAAGTGCCTTAACTGCATTATGTCTGCATGACCAACAAGTATCACTCAACCCTTTAGGTGTCAGCAGTTTTTTCTTGTTTGTCTTTTCTTGAGAGCTAGACAGTGCATTCTGTTAGGATTTGGTAACGTGAAAGTGATGCTGTGAAAAAGACATGCACTTTTTGAACAAAGTCAAAGAATTTCACTGCTGCAGAACATGTATTTGCTGCTGCCTTACCAACTAAATTCAGCGAATGTGCACAACATAAGACATAAATGCATAGGTCATTTTGTTCCTTTATCAAAGATTGCATTCCGCAATATTTACCACTCATGTTGGCAGCATTGTCATATGATTGACCTCGACAGTCATGTAAATTAATTCCATTGGATTCCAGATATTTCAATAATGCCTCTGTCATTTCACTACTAGTGTGACCTGTATTAGGGATAAAAGTTAGGAATCTCTCATTCGGTATTAACTTTTTCATATCCATGTAACGAATTGTAATAGTTAACTGATCAATATGAGCCTCATCTGGTGTAGAATCGACAGATACTGAGAAATACTTTGATTTTTTAATAGAACAGAAAATGTGCTATAAAACTTGTGAGCCCATCAAATAGTGGAAGACAGATAGCTAGTATGGCCTCTTCCTTTATTTGCATGCATCTTAATGTGAGCAGCAAGAAAAGTGTCATATTCACTCAGCAGTTCTAAAATTCCTAGATAATTCCTATTGTGTGGTGATCCAACAATTTCATTATCACCTCGAAAAGCTAACCCTCGTTCTGCAATGAACTTTATAGTACTTATTACACGTTGCAGTATTTGATTCCAGTACACACATATTTCAGATTCCTGCTTTGCTAGCTCATTGTAAATTCCTCCAGACTTTTTGCCACGTTGTGCCAAAATTATGCTTCCAGATATCCTTTAGATGATTCATGCTCACTGACACGCACTGAGGCATGTTTCCAATAGCAAAAACCAGAACTTGAAAAATTAGTAGTGATATTTTTGGACCCAGTCAATTTGCAGATAAAGCAGTATACTTTTCCTGTGTGTGAGGAAAAGCACAACCAATTACGTTGACATGTTTCACTATTTGTTGTTTTTCGTAGAAACAAATTTGGGGTACATTTCCGAAAAAAGGTTGAGCCATCAGGTTTTTCCTGTTTCTGTGATATTGAATATTTCCTTAGGGTATCTTGATCAAAATTTTGCATCAATGAGGTAGGTCCCTTCTCTGCCCAAAATGTTATCATATTTGTTGAAGCTAATTCTGGCCACAAACCAATATCATTCCCAAATCCAAGCATAGAGGCATGTTCATGTTCAATTGTTACACCTTTTGCCATCATAGCTACTGTTGCTTCCTGTTGCTCATCTGCTTCTGCTGTTGTTTGATTGTCACTAATGTCTTGCGATAGAAACTCCTCAACTGGTGGTAGTATAGCTGAAGTGCAAGGTAGTGACTTTGAAGAATCTAAATCTCCATCTCGTTTACTAAAAAAGGTAAAAGGTTGCGAAAAGATTTATGTCTGTCAGACATTATTTTTCTAAAAAAGATTAAATTTTAGTGTTAAATGTTACTACTATAACTTAATATGTAAATTATATATATATATATATATATATATATATATATATATATATATATATATATATATATATATATATATTAGGGATATGACAATTTCATAACCCTATATGCCCTTTCTGACTCTATCCCTAAACCCTATATGACTTTTAAAGCCAAAGTCTTTTTTTGAGATTTTTTTGTATTATTGTTTAAAATGTTGATGATCTGCTAATGCTAAAGCTTCTCCTAATGTATATTTGAAAATAAATGCTATCCAACAGAAGTTTGACCCAAATGTTGAACTTTTTATATGGAATATAACTTATAAAAGCTATTAAATGCGTACTAATTTACTAGTTTCTTTGAGCCACAGTACACATTTCACTTTATTCAAAGATTAGATCTTTTTTGACCTTATATAACTTAAAAAGTAAACAAAAATTTTTGATAAAATAAATTTAACATTTAATGTAAACAAAACCATTTACATTTAAAAAAAGATTTTTCAAAAATTTAAATCAAATTTTTCTAAAATGACACAAATTTCAACTTAAACCACTATTTTTAATAAAATAGATTAACATTTGATACAAACAAAGCCATTTACATTGAAACAAATAGACTTTGCGAAAGTTAAACGTTATTTATTTACTACCATTTTTATTTTTTTCCCTACAAACTGCGCGATATGAATTCGGCTAATATACCTAATATATATATATTAAATATAAGTGATCTCTAAAATACAAAGTTTACATATACTTTCTATTAAATATAATAATTTATACCTCTATTTTTATCGTTACCCTTGTTTAAGGCATGTCATTGAATTTTTTTTTTTCACAATTTGTGGGGGCCCCGGGCTAGCACCCCGATTGCCCCCCCCCCTCCTCGTTTAATCCGGCCCTGGTCTGTGTATTTGTGTATGTAAGGGGGGGGGGGGAAGTAAGGTCTCCATGTTTAACATATTTATAGGGGTGAGTGTTCATTGTGGGCAAGTAAAGCATACGACTTTAGTTTTGTTCTTTTTCTATGAGATATATATATATATATATATATATATATATATATATATATATATTATATATATATATATATATATATATATATATATATATATATATATATATATATATATATTATTTAAATGAAGAAAAACAACATTATAATAGTACTTCAAGTTTAGTTATAGCTGCATGCAAAATATTAAATCTATCATTAGTTCACACAACCACAAGATTTTACAAAATAAAAGAAATATAACTACAAAAACATGCAACTGTATTACTAAAACCGCTTGTCTATTAAGCAACCAATGTTTAGTAAGTAATATTGTTTACCAAGCCACTGTGAGTTCTGATGATCCAGATCCTAAGGAAAAAGTATATTTTGGTATCAGTGAGACACCATTCAAGCTCAGGTACACAAATCATTTAAAGTCTTTTAATGCGATCAAATATAAAAATGATACTGAACTTTCAAAATAAATTTGGAGTTTAAAAGAAAAAGGTACAACACCTATTATAAAGTGGAAAATTATTAAACGCTGTGAAGCTTACAAACCAGAAACAAAAACCTGCAAACTTTGTCTTTATGAGAAATTAGAAGTTTTATCTTTTAATGGAAACATCCTGCTCAATAAAAAAGACGAAATATTATCTAAATGTCGACATTTAAATAAATTCCTGTTATCTTCTTTGATACTGGAGATTGATTGCGCCTTTTCAAATTACCTCAGAACTCGTTTTACCGTAAAATTTTGATTTGTTTTTTAAACGTTAATTTACGTTTTTAATTTGTAATTAATAGCTGATGATTGCCGAAAGGCACGAAACTTTAAGTACTATTAAAATGTTGTTTTTCTTCATTTAAATAAAATATATATATATATATTGCTCTATTATCATAATATCGAGAACTGTTTTTCGTACAAGAGTTTTGTATTATTTTATATAATACGTAAACAATCAATATATATAAATATATATATATATATATATATATATATATATATATATAATTCATATATATATATATATATATAATTCATATATATATATATATATATATATATATATATATATATATATATATATATATATATATATATATATATATATATATATATATATATATATATATATATATATATATATATATATATATATATATAGTTCATATATATATTTATTTATTTATTCATATATATATATATATATATATATATATATATATATATATATATATATATATATATATATATATATATATGCATGTATGTATATATTGTTTTTAATGTTATATTATTACTTTAGCAACGTTTTAAGTCGTTCAAGTATTTTTATTTCATGCTTTAATGCGATTGAGCAGTTGCAAATCGAAGGACAGGTTGATATATTTCAGTTGGTGCGACGAGCTCAATTATCACACCCTAGTTTTGTTCAGACTTTGGTAAGTTTGTGTAATTTAATAAGAAATTTTTTTTAATATTTTAGAAATAAGTTAGCTTTTTTTATTTTTAAAAATAATTTACATGCAAAAAATTTCATTTTTAGCCTCAATATGAGTTTGTTTACAAGCTGTTGAAACATTATTTGGAAACATTTTCCGATTATTCAAATTTTACATGAACAATTCAAAAAGAAAAAAATTCTATATCTTTTTTATAGAAAAAGCAGTGGTTTTGTTTTTTAGTTTTTTAATTTTTTATCAGATTTTATTGATTTTTTTAGTTTTTAAGATTTTAATGCTTTTTTTAATTTTTTAGAGTATCATGCTTTTAAAAGTAAATTTATTTTACTGTTAATTTTTATGCATTTTTTTTTATTGAAAATACTTTTTAAGAAAAAATTTATTTTTATAAATGTTACAGATGATTATAATAAATATCTATATATATTGTTATATATTTTATTTTTTTAAAGAGATAAAAAAAACTGTTAATATGTTTTTATTTTAGAGTGATTTTATTATTGTTTTTATAAATATTTTTTCATGATATAAAATTATTATTTTTTTAATTAGAATTTTTATATAAGAAATAAATTTTTAATAAAGTTAAATTGCATAAAGTTTATTTATTTTAAATCTAAATTACTTTTTAAAACTATAACACAACCTTACTCCTATTTGATACTACAGGGTTATTCATTTTTATATGCGCGTCTATTCATTGTTATATGCGTGTTTATTCATTCTTATATGTGCATTTATTCATTCTTATATGCGTGTTTATTCATACTTATATGAATAATTTATACTTTTTTTTTTTTTTTTTTTTTTCGGTGCCCCAAGAAGTCCTTACGGTCTTATCTCAGAGCACCGCGGATGAGCATTTAATAGGAAGTTTACGCCTCTTTCCTACCCGATTTCGCAAAACTTGCTCAGAGGTGGGATTTGAACCACAGATCCTTTATGTCTGAGACAAGTGCGCTACCACTGCGCCACGGCAGTTTTATATGCGAGTCAACCACCAATAAAATCTCTAAAATAATTTTATATAAACAAATAGATATTTATGTTTTATATAGATATATTTAAAATATAAATTAGGTTGTTGCCACTGCTATTTATTTAAAACATGGTTGCCGAGCCAGCGCTGGATCTATGTAACTACACATATAGTTGTAAAATGAAATTAAGTTAAACTGTAGTATCCATAATACTTTTAAGTTTCCTGATTAGCCCATTCGTATTTCGAGGCCCTTCTTCCTGTTTGTAAGTATACATTAAAGAAATTCTTCTATTGTTATAAGCTGTGGCGTGTATGTAGACTTGTCAGCCGTCAGTAAATAGGACACATGGCTGGCTCGCTAATAAAAGTAGCTGGATAGCCAGCTAGCCGGTTGTAAACCTAGTGGCGGCTATATAATAAAAAAAGAAGCTGGCTAACCGGCTGAATATAGAAAAATAACATGTATTATTTGGAACTATTATTATAATTATTAAATTTATATCACAACCCTAATTAATTTACAATGAACCAATGCTATCATGTATAAAAATAATCATGTTCATATTAGTTGGGTCTAGTAAACTTCTTCGAAAATTGACAATTAATCCAGCTGTGTAAAACACGCATTCTACTGCTACACTGCTTAATGCAATGCATAAATATTCACTTGCTAAACATGCCATATGGGGAAACTTTTTATGATTGTTTTTCTAAAACTCTACAGGGTATTTTTCTTCCTCATCTGTTGGTAGACAAATAATATGATTATTGACTTCCCTGGCTAAACTTTGATGGCCATTTTGATCATAGTTTGGAAGCGCAGCTTTAATTTCTTATAGCAGTATTTTCTTTGCAGTAGGATAATTTTCTACAAAATAACTAACGTAAATCAACCATGCAAATAATCCAATACAAACATTTAATACTAAAATTTAAAAACTATATGCAACTAGCTATAGTATAGATACTTATTTGTAGTACTATAATTTAACATGCCATACAACTTACTAAATTAGTTTTTTAACATTTATAGTTTTTATTTTATTTATATCATACTTTATTTATTTCTAGCTTACCATCTTTCAATAGTTTATTGTCATTGTTATAAGTTACATTGCTAACTGCTGCATGTGAATTTAAACTTTCTGTAAAACTTGATAAAGTCTCTAATAGTATATTAACTGCTTAATTATATGGAAAGATAGAATTAACACCTGGATCTAACAAAGATGATAATTTGGCTGTTTGTGACAGTTTTAGACGCTGTTCTAATTTTGAGCTACAAGCCATTTTTAGCTTTTTATAACATGTAAGTCATCTTTACACACCTTGAGAAGCGATGCAATTTTATGTTTGACCAATGGCAGAATAGAGAGAGAGAGTTTCCCCCACTCACAACTTCTGTCAAATTTTGAAAAAGTTTCAGGAACTTAACAAGCTCCTTTAATAATTCTAGCTCAAACTCAATGAGACACAATTCTCTTTTGCCAATTATTTTTAAAAGTTTTTTTACACCATTATAAAGCTGATCAATAGACTCTATCATAAATAGTGCACTGTTCCGCCGACTACATACTTGGAGTTTTAAGTTTCGATTTGTACCTTGAGTTTTCTATAAATAAATCTTTTTCTTGACATTTGTCTTCACTATTCGAGATGATAGGATTGTCATTTGGGCTTGCTTGATTTGCTTGAATTGGGAATTGTTCATCAAGGTTAAAAAGTTCTTTCACTTCTGCAATTTTTCTTAATTTATCATAAAGATCTACATCATTATTTGTACACAAAAATTCATTAATAAGAAAAGTTGATTTGAAGCTCAAACATGTAACAATATTTCTACATTTCTTAAGTAATATTAGGACTTCAGAACATTTGTTTAGACCATCAGAAAGCCAAGTAAATTTAGCACATGAGCTAAGCAATGTTGAGGTTCTTCACTACCCAATAGTCTAGAAGTCTTCATCATGTTTGCAGCACCATCATGAACATTATGCAAACGTAACTCCTCATACTGTTTGCTAAACATATTTTTAATAACATCCTTCTAATAAAATCTGCAATAATTTCTGCTGTGTGGTTTTCCAGTGGTGCACAAGATAAAGTGAAAATTTTCTATTCCATTCACTTGTTATTACTGAACACTTTACACCAATAAATGATAGTCTTTTGTATTTATCTGTCCAGCCATCAAAAAGTAAGGAAGCAGCATTTGAGTATTTTAAAACATTCTTTACACTGTTCTTGACTGCAAAACCAAAGTGCAATGTCACGAGTAATATCAAACTTTACTTTTGACGCAGACTCACTTGCGCTGCACCAATTTCTTAATATATTGTTATTTTTTTCTTCAGTAGAGATTTTATCAGTGACAATTTTGTGCACTAAAAACAAATGGTTTTTCATGTTCCATATAAGAATGAATAAATGCGCATATAAGAATAAATAACCTTGTAAATCAGATTAATTTACGTGACAGAAAAAAAAATCGTAAAAAAGTGTGTAAATTGGTGGTAGCGCACCAACAACAGTAAAAAAAAATATTTTTACATTTATTTAACCAAAAGTTTGAAATCTGCGATGATTATCATTACAGATTTCGAATTTTTTATTATATTGATTTGATTCAATTAAATAAAAAAAAACTTCACATGTTAAAACTTGTTTAGAATGTATCGGTATAAAATGATTTTATCTTTTCTCTATGTTTATTCTGTTTTATACGCTTCAGTAACAAGTTAAACCATAAAAAAGCCATGAAAAACTGTTAATTATGATGCTTTACTGACGTAATTTGCTTTTTGATATTTTGTTCTATAGTATCTTTTTAAAATAAAAATGATATAGGAAGATAATAGAGAAAACAATTATGAAACAGAATATACAATAATAAAAAAGTAACGTTTTGTGGAAACACATATACAAAGATTCATTCTTCAGAAAGGAAAACTTTATCCTTTTTTGAATCTGCTATACATTCTGCTTCTTCAAAAAAATTAAATACAGCTGATAGAGATTTTCAAGATTTTCAAAATAAAAATTTTAATTATGTTGTGAACTATATTGCTAATGAATATTGCTAATGAAATATCTAAATTTGTATGAGTTTATTTAATGTTTGATTTAAAAAGTATGGTTTAAGTATTGGTTTAAAAATTTGTTGTAACAGTTGCAATTGGAAAACTGAGTTTTTTTTATCTGCTACATTTTGTAAAAAAAATTTTAATCAAACAACAATAGCTTAGTAAAAGCAAATGTAGTGGATAAACCATTTGATATTAACACACGTGTTTTTTTTGGCTTTTCGTGAAATGGGTAAAGGCTTATCGTCATTAGAAAAATTTTGTGGAATAAGAAATATGAAACCACCTAAGAACAAAAAAGCTTCAATAACTTTTTACATAACCTGTTTTATGTTTATCAAAGTTTAGAAGAACAAGAAAAATGCTGCTGATGATTTAAACCCTTCAGGTGAAACATCAATAGACATTTTGTGTAGCTTTGATGCTATGTGGCAAAAACGTGGTTTTATTTCGAATAACGGAGTTGTTTCTGCAATTTCAGTTGAAAGTGGTAAATTTATAGACATTCAAATGAAACAAACATATGTAAATTATGTTCAATATGGAAGTTAAAAAAATTGGCATATCCAGTTTAATATAAAAGTTTACAGTCATCACATTACCAAAATTGTAAAATTAATCGTACTGGATAATCATCTGCTATGGAATCAATTGGTGTTTTAAAACTTTTTCATCGTTCTGAAAAGAAAAAAATATAAGCCATACTACATATCTTGGTGAGGGGATAGTAATTCTTATACCAGTGTTGTTGTTGCTAAACCTTATGGACATAATATAGAAATTAAAAAAGCATAGTGCATTGGTCATTCAAAAATGAGTTGGCATGCGTTTAAGAAACATAAAAAAGCAGCAAAGAAATTTTAAGTGATGGTAAAAAGTTAGGAGGAGCAGGTCGTTTGACAGAAAATGTTATCAACAAATTTCAAGGTTACTATGGTAAAGCAATTAGTCCGAACATTGGTAGTTTATATGCAATCAAAAAAAAATTTTCAGGAGGTGTTCTTTTTTACTCTTCCGAAAGTTATGACAATGAAACACGCCATCAATTTTGTTTGCGCACAAAGGATTCTTGAAAGAATATATACAAAGAAAATATTTATATTCCTGCTTCTGTTCGAGA